GCCACATCACCCTGGGAACATCACACTCCCCAATGGCCCGTCAACACCTTTTGTCTTGCTAACAGGTTTGCTCTTCAGCCAGCCAGCCAGGCTGGTTTGCATAAGCCAGCCCAGGAATTCCCTGTTTGGCACAGTTCTGCTCTTTAATCCATATCCCAATTGATCGACACCCTGGCATTTGTTAATTTCTAGGGTTCAGGGAGATTCCCTCCCCGCTTTAAATCCATAACACCATACATACCGTATTTTTTGCTCTATAAGACTTTTTCCCTCCTAAAAAGTAAGGGGAAATGTGTGTGCATCTTATGGAGCAAATACAGGCTGCGCAGCTATCCCAGAAGCCAGAACAGCAAGAAGGATCGCTGCTTTCGCTGCGCAGCAATCCCTCTTGCTGTTCTGGCTTCTGAGATTCAGAATATTTTTTTTCTTGTTTTCCTCTTCCAAATACTAGGTGCGTCTTATGGTCTGGTGCGTCTTATAGAGCAAAAAATATGGTATATCCAGTGCTTTTAAAAGGAAAAGGAAAAGTTGCCGTTGCTCCCCCTGAAGTTGTTATAGAAGGTGCCACACTTTTAACATTTGGAAAGAAAAGGCACTGGTTCTGTGCATCCTTGAGTACACCTGGGGGGAAAAGCACTGCATACAGGATATCTAAAGTATTCTTCCTGTGTTCATTGTTGCCAACGCCCTGCATGCAAAACGACAAAGCTTTACAGATGCCTGATTATCGTCTTCCAAAGCAACTGCTCTATTCCAAACTTAAAAATGGAAAGCGTAATGCTGGTGGTCAACAAAAGAGGTTTAAAGACTGTCTCAAGGCAAATCTAAAAAAATGTAGTATAAACACCAACAATTGGGAAACACTGGCCTGCGAATGCTCCAGTTGGAGAACAGCCTTGACCAAAGGTGCCATGGGCTTTGAAGACACTCGAATTCAGGACGCAAAGGAGAAACGTGCTAAGAGGAAGGCACGCTTGGCAAACCCTCACCATGATCAACTCCTGCCTGGAAACCAATGTCCCCACTGTGGAAGGACGTGTGGGTCCAGAATTGGCCTCCACAGTCACCTACGGACTCATTGTTAAAGCCGTGTTTATGGAAGACAATCTTACTGAGCTATGAGTGATCGCCAAAGGAGAAGAAGAAGACCCCAGGAGAAAGCCACTGACTAAGGCTAAGAGAGGAAGAGACTTTGGGCTCCTCCACATGTTCCACCTATTGAGCATTTATCCTGAACTGGTTGCACAAAGCTTACGCAGAGGTTGCAATTAATTCTGTCCCTTATTTATTGAGCATTCGCCCCAATTTGTTTGTGAGAAGTTTGTACAATAACAACATCCATCCATTCAGAGACCTGGTCTGAATAGAGATATTGGATTCTTGTCTCATTACACATGCTAAAGCTGTTTTTGGTCATCTGCATACTATCCCTTGCTTTTTCCTGTAGGACTAATTGCAGTCATTAACAGTCGTCAGCAGGTTTACCATACCCATCTCCTACTACCCTCCTGAGAAAAACCCCACCCACCCCACCCTCCCAATATATATAAGGGTCTGGTGACTTCTGTTTCAGTGTATCTGAAGAAGTGTGCATGCACACGAAAGCTTATACCCAGAACAAACTTAGTTGGTCTCTAAGGTGCTACTGAACAAATTTTTTTCAATTTTTTTTAACATCCATCCAGATTTGCTTGCACAGAGGTTATATGTCTCCCCATTGCTTCATTGTTTATCCCACACTTTATAGTGCATCTCCATCTTAGGTAAAGAGGTAAAGAGACCCTTGACCGTTAAGTCCAGTTGCGGACGACTCTGGGGTTGCAGTGCTCATCTCGCTTTATTGGCCAAGGGAGCCGGTGTACAGCTTCCAGGTCATGTGGCCAGCATGACTAAGCCGCTTCTGGCGAACCAGAGCAGCGCACGGAAACGCTGTTTACCTTCCCGCCAGAGAGGTACCTATTTATCTACTTGCACTTTCAGGTGCTTTCAAACTGCTAGGTTGGCAGGAGCAGGGACTGAGCAATGGGAGCTCACCCCATCGCGGGGATTTGAACTGCCGACCTTCTGATCGGCAAGCCCTAGGCTCTGTGGTTTAACCCACAACGTCACCCGTGTCCCTTACTGAACTTACTGAACTGCAAAAAGAGTCCACGCCTACCTTTGCTCTTGGTTTTCTAGGTCTGTGCCCAAGCGCCCCTCCCTCGCACTTTCCCCATGAAAACCCACCCTCTACTGCTGAAAACAATTCTGTAGAAAACCCAAACTGCCATTGAAGCGTGGATTTTCCCGGGGAAAGTAGCAGGGGAAAAATGAAAGCGCTCAGACATGGACCAGGAAAGTGTGGATCTGTGCCTAGAACAATTAAGCGTGGTTGAGCCCTTGGTGTTCCAGTGCCTCCATCCCTGCAGGGGCATAGTCCATCATTATGCGAAATGCCTCCACCCCCCAAAAAAGACCACCCAGTATGGCAGAATGGAGTCTACTAAATTTAGCTCTAGAAAAGATCAGCAGGTGTTTGGGAACAGTTCGTCCGTCCAGATGATTTGCATGAACCTTAAGGCAGCCAAGAGATACAGCTTATCATTTGAAAAAGCCACTTGGATTATTTGTGGTGCATTGAGAGTGCCCTCTGGTGCTCTCAGATACGAACAACTCTCAGTCTACACAACAAGGGTCTGGAAATTTGAATCCATAAGGCAGGCATAGGCAAACGTGGCCCTCCAGCTGTTTTGGGACTACAAGTCCCATCATCCCTGACCACTGGTCCTGTTAGCTAGGGATGATGGGAGTTGTAGTCCCAAAACAGCTGGAGGGCCGAATTTGCCTATGCCTGCCTTAAGATGAACAGTTGAGAGAGCTGGGTATGTTTAAGGCCTGGGAAAGAGGAGAGGAGAGAGCCAATATATCTATAAAGGGCTATCATACAGAGGATGGAGGAAGGTTGCTTTCTCCTGCTCTGGACTCGAACCCATGGCTTCAAGTTAAAAGAAAGGAGATTCCGAGTAAACTTTCTGACGGTAAGAGCTGTTTGACAATGGAATGGTCTCCCTCGGGAGTTTGTGGACTCCCCTTCCTTGGAGTTTTTTAAGCAGGGGTCGGAAAGCTGTCTGGCATGGATTGCATGGGGTTCGACTAGATGACCTTTGGTACCCCTTCCGATTCTAGGATTCTATGACAAGCTAAAAAAAGGTAAAGGTAAAGGACCCCTGATAGTTAAGTCCAGTCGCAGACGACTCTGGGGTTGCGGTGCTCATCTCGCTTTATTGGCCGAGGGAGCCGGCGTACAGCTTCCGGGTCATGTGGCCAGCATGATTAAGCCGATTCTGGCGAACCAGAGAAGCACACGGAAACGCCGTTTACCTTCCCGCCGGAGCGGTCCCTATTTATCTACTTGCACTTTGAGGTGCTTTCGAACTGCTAGGTTGGCAGGAGCAGGGACCGAGCAACGGGAGCTCACCCCATCGCAGGGATTCGAACCGCTGACCTTCTGATCGGCAATCCCAAGAGGCTCAGTGGTTTAGACCACAACTGGAGAAAGAATATTAGGGGCACATGATGTCCTCCCCTTTATTTTCACAGACATTTCTGCCCTTTCTGGACTCTGGTTCCGCATGCTCAGCACCCTCATCTGCAACAGCCGATGCACATTTTCTATATTGGTACCGTTTTTGCATATTTGCATTTATTTATTTGGATGTTGCATGAGTTCTCTTTCGGGGAAAGCTCTCCCAAGGCAGCATATGGTCAGCAAGTCATCTGTTTGAGGGAACCAGTGTGTGGCAGGACCTCCCTTGCCCTCCTGGGGTGGATAATGTCCTGGATCTGATCTGGGGTGGTGGAAGGGAGTTATGAAATGCTGTGGAGAAGGGATTGCTCTTTAAGACAAGCAGAACCACTCCTGACATCAGCTGTAACTGTAGCCTGAGTTTGAGCTTGCTTTCCCCTCTTCCCACCCACACATTTTTCCTTGTGTGCCGTTTCTGTTTCAGATTGTGAGCCGTATTAGCACTGATTTTTGCATGGCGAGCTCCCGTCCCCCCAGTGGAAATAAAGACACATGACACAATTATTAAGGTTAATGGGCTAAAAAAGGCCACAACTTTATTGGTTACAGGTGATGAGCGGCATTGGCTTAGGCATTGGTCCTAACCGGCTATATCCGACTTCAGCCCGTCTACTTGAAGTCCAGGAAGGGTTAACCACCAGTAGGGGGAGTCCTGCTGATGCACATCAACTAGGAACTCCCCTGGGGTCACAAATAGGGGGCGTGCCTTAGGCCCTCACCTCCCCAGTCTTCGGATAGGGCCATGCCCCCCGGAATCCTTTACCAGACTACCCTTCAATATGCGGGGCAGGTGATGGCGCTTCCTCCCCTCTTCCATCTACAGAGCAATACCAATGCCTAACCGCCAATACCCAGAAAGTTGTGACTATTTGCTACAAGGTGGGTGAAAACCAAGTGGCTGGTGCCAATTTGCCAAGTGGAAAAATTCCTACCAGGCCCCTCAATGGCGACCAACCAAGGTCCATAGCAAGGTCAAGGACCGAAAACCTTATAGGGCGGGAGGGTGGGAAACAGGAACAGCTGGTAGGCGGGGAAAGAGGGAGATCCCTGGCTGCGCGTGCGTTTAAATTGGGCAGGCCACGTCCACACAGTCAGCCGATTGGCTGACCAGGGGGTGACGCGGCCGGGGATTCCCCAATCGCGCAGGGGCTGGGATCCAGCCCCGCGCGCATGGTGGGGCAGTGAAGCCCGCAATCCCACCTCCTCTGCAGGGCGGAAGTGGCTTTGTAAGCTCCCCTGGCAGCTTTTGGGGCTCAAGGCGGGTGGTGCTATAAATGTTGCAATAGAAAGAATTCAATGGGCTTTTAAATCATTGGAGGGGGACACACACACACACACCATAACTACTGAGAACAAGATAAGACAACCAAAACAGGCAGCTTCCAAACCACACACAAAAAGCCTGTTATCTGCCGCACCTCGAGATTTGACTTACTTCACTGAGATGGAGAAATCTCCTGGGCTGCTCTCACTTTCCCGGATAAGGAAAGCTCCCTGGAAATTACGTTTCAAGAGAACGTCCTCAGCTGCTTGCCTGGACAGCTTTCCGGAATACCACCTGGGTGAGAGAGCCAAGAAAAGAGGTGATCGGTGATAGGCAGGCAAGAGTCATAATAAATAATCATAATAAAAATTATTCATACCCCGCCATCCCCTGCCAGAGCCGGGCTCAGGGCAGCTAACACCAATAAAATCACAATAAAAACATAATAGGGGAAAAAGAAAAAGAAGAAAAAAACCAATTTAAATTTAAATACAGGTTAAAATGCAATTTAAAATGCAGCCTCATTTTAAAAGTCAAAACCATAAGGGGAGGGAAACATAAGGGTCAGACTGAGTCCAAACCAAAGGCCAGGCGGAACAGCTCTGTCTTGCAGGCCCTGCAGAAAGATGTCAAGTCCCGCAGGGCCCTAGTCTCTTGTGACAGAGCGTTCCACCAAGTCGGGGCCAGTACTGAAAAGGCCCTGGCCCTAGTTGAGACCCATCTAACCACCGTGCGACTTGGGACCGCTACAGTGTTGTCATTTGTGGACCTTAAGGTCCTCCACGGGGCATACCAGGAGAGGCGGTCCCGTAGGTACGTGGGTCCTAGGCCGCATAGAGTAGAGGGCCAAAGAGTTGAGACCATTATTTTTCCGCTCTGAGATCACCTGCCACAGTGTCAAGGCCATGGACAAGGTCTCCTAGTTTGGGCGAGTGAATCCATAATCACCAGGAACAGAAAGGGTTGGGGAACAAGCAGGAGACAGAGCGGAATATTGCAAGCCAAGCTGTCTTTGGAATAATGTGAAGAACGGGATCTCCAAGGAAGTTGGCTTCAGGCACTGGGCCCGTTGGCAGACCGACTCTGCGTTACAAAGACTTCTGGAAATGTGACATGAAGGTTGGCAACCAGGGCTGTCTTAAGCATATCCGGCGCCATCGTACAAAGCTCCCTCCGGCACACCCCCTCCGTTTCCTAGAGGTTTTTTTAGGGAGGAGGGCGCTGCCAGCAGGGCTGGAGGAGGCGGGCAGCGGCTGGAGGGTGACTCCTCCAGCGGGGAAGAGGGGGAGGCTGGACGCAGTGCCTTCCAGCTCAGCTGGCTGCTCTGTGCCATGGTGACCATGGCAGATGGAGGCTCTGGGTGCAGCGCTGCTTCATGGCATGGCAGAGGCAGGTGAGGGCGGCGAGCTGATGCCACGAGGTGCCGCGTATAGCCTCCGTGTGATGGCCTGGGAATCTGATTCAGACGCTGAACCTGAGGAATCCCAGCCTGCACAGGAGTCCCCGCCTCCAGGGCCGGCTGAGCTGGGGCAGGGGCTTGAACCTGAAGGGCCCTCACCTGTGCCTGATCCTCAGGAGCAGACACCAGCTGAATCCACTCTGGCTTCCGGAGGTGATCAAGGACCCATTGCCTGCAGGTGCGCCTCTCCTAGCCCTGTCAGGGGAAGGTGAGGTTGCCTCTGGGTCCAGTAACCCTCCAGCCTCGCCTGAGCTGCAGAGGCTCAGGGCAGAGAGGCGGAGGGAACTAAGTTCCCACAGGAGGAGTGCTCGCCTCCAGGCCAGGAGAGGCGAGTCACCTGTGGACCGGGGCCACCCTATGCCTCAGAGGAGATAAAGGCCAGTCAGCCCAGTCCCAGGTTGCAGGAGCAACATCGTTGGTAACCTGTTCCTGCCAGCACCCTGTCCTGCTCTTCCAGAGTTCCTGACCACACCTGACTCCTTGCCTTGGACCCCGTTTCGTCCTTGACAGACAACCTCCATACCCTCGACCTAGGACCGGACTCAGACCACGTCGCACGGTAACCCCCCCCCGGGACCAGCACACTCCGCCTCTTCTCTGGAGCCCTCTAGAACTTGGCGCCCTGCGCTACTAGCCTCTATGGGTAAGACGGCCCTGTTGGCAACATCAACCCGCCGTGTGGAAATCTCTAGCAGAGGACTGGAGACAGACAGGTTGTGCATCCACAGCAGTGATCGGAGGAGGAATAAGCGCTGGGAGGAGCGCAGAGAGAAGAAACGCCCTGGTGCATCTGCAGTAGCAAAACCGGACGCCTTCACCTGCCCCAGATGCAACAAAACATGTCTCTCCCGTCTCTACAGCTACAGCCGGTGCTGTGGGACTTGCTTCTGAGTAAAATGCTTAGGATTGCAGTAAGACTGCACAGTCTTTACCCAGTGACCTGGGAATCATAGGCTAGTTCACCTGGGAGTGAGATGCAAGGGTTTGGCCTTGGTGTTGGGGGCAGAGACGGAACAACCATCGCGTTGGTGTACCTCCAAACCTGCCCTCCAACCACCTTCCTGACTGAGCTGGTGGAAGCGGTCTCTGGTGTGGTGTCAGGGAATTCCAGGACACTTCTGGGGGACCTCAAAATCCATGTTGATGCTGCCTTGTCTGGGCCGGCTCAGGACCTCATGGCGTCAAAGAAAAATCTGACCACCAGGACAACCATGGGGCTGTTGCAGTACACTGAGGACCCAACACATACTGTGGGTTGCACCCTAGATCTGGCTTTCTTTACAGAGGAGATTGGGAAGAACACTAGCCATCACCCTTCGAGAGGAAGGGTGGGACAGAAATGGGATAAGATAAAATAAAGAACAGACCCAAGCAATTACCTGTATTTTTGGACTCTCTTAAGGAGGGCATGGCTAGGGGTTGTCATTGTTATGGCTGTGGTGGTTGTGATTATGAGTCCAACTGACTGGAAAACAACCACCACCACAATCATTGCAATGAACCAACACGCTCAGTTCTGGTCTGCTCCTGGGCTTTTAACCAAGAGTCTGATCTTCTGAAATCCAGGAGCCAAGGCACAGAAGTGAAATGTACCAACTTTTGTTTCAAATAAAATCAAGTACCATAAAATAAATGCCAAGGCTGTATCTGCACTAGGCAATCTTTAAGCGAGCTTTCCTTGGAAACTAGTGTAGGATGGGATAGGGGGAAAAAAAAGAAAATTTATCCAGCGTTAATGCATTTGCTTACTTGTTTGTTCCAGACAAATACAACGTCCACCCACAAGCTAATGTCTTTTGCATCTTGTTCATTCATGGCCCTGCCCTCTTTCCCCCTTCCAAGTGCTGATTTATTGTGGATTCGTGAAAGAAGAACACTTGCGGCAGGTGCAAAATGCAATTGTCAAATGTGATGGGGCGATGTTCAGGGCCAAACCCTGTGGCCCGCCAGATTTTGTTGCTGGGCTACAACTCCCATCATCCCTGAGTATTGGCTACGCAGGATGGGGCCGATAGGAATTGGGAGTCCAGCAATGTTTGGAGGGTCCATAACTTCCCCACCCCCACCTTAAATCTTCTCAATCTTCACCAGTTGGATAGTATTGGTGTGTCCGGCTGCTGTTAAATGCGCAGCAGCCTTTGGGCCACTGGGACAGGGTTGGTCTCGGTTAAGCTGTGCTGAGTTCAGAGCTTCCCAGGAGGAAAGAAATCTGGGTTTGTTTTCCTGGCAAGGTTACCGTACTTTTAAAAGACTAAGCGATCCATAAACGCTTTGAAATAAATCAAGGAAAGGAACAAGCTGGTGCTGCTTACGGGTGAGGTTTCATTTTGATGTAGTTTTTGGGGATGAATCCTTCGGTGCCGAAGAGTTCGGCTTTGTACCAGTTCAGGTCATCTTCCATGTTCAGGATCTGCGGAATCCAAAAGAGAAAAAAAGGAGCAGCTGTTAGCTTGAAAGCACTGCCGGATTTATGTACAGTGGTGCCTCGCAAGACGAAATTAATTCGTTCTGCGAGTTTTTTCGTCTTGCGAATTTTTCGTCTTGTGAAGCATGGTTTCGGGAAAGTTTTGGAAAAGCTTCAAAAATCAACAAAGTCTTCAGAAACCTCAAAAAAGGCTACCACACAGTGTGCTATGAGTTGCTCCTCGAAGTCAAGTCGCAACTATATTAACGGTTTTAAGAAAAAGGAAACAAACTTGCAAGACGTTTTCATCTTGCGAAGCAAGCCCATAGGGAAATTCGTCTTGCGAAGCAACTCAAAAAACCAAAAACCCTTTCGTCTTGTGAGTTTTTCGTCTTGCGAGGCATTCGTCTTGCGAGGTACCACTGTATAAGCTAAACAAGCTATAGCTAAGGGTCCCACTCTCTTGGGGCCCCCAAAAAAATTATACCGAAAGAAAGAAATACCATCTTTTACACTCACTAAGTGTAACAAGGTACAAAGGTCTGCTGTCTCAATAAACAATGTGCACTACTATGGTGATACTGACTGAGCTATCCTTGATGGCCTGCACAAAGTCTCTCTCCCCTCACGGCCTAAGTCACCCAGCATGCAACCTAGCCGAGTGGGGATTTCAACCCTATTCTACCACCCTAACCACTACACCACACTGCCCCTCTGTAGGACAGCATTTGGGCTCTTTCTTTAGAACTGGACAACTTGAGCAGTTTATGTGTACATATGCAACTAACCTGCACCCTTGAAACGTCAGGTGCCCCATTTGCTTTTCTGGCTGATTCCCCCCACTCACTCACCCCCCCACGTTATTGTGAAAAGCGGCTCTCAGCTGCGAAAACAGGAACTGAGATTTCTCTGGGGACTCTCTGGGCACCGAAAGAATTCCCCGGGTGACCAGCAGAGCGGAGCAGGCTGCAGGCAAGCTGATGCAAAACAGGAAGGAGCCATCAGGGCCGTGAGAACATTTGGGCTGTAGAGATGGAAGGGACCCGAGGGTCATCTAGTCCAACCCAGGAATCTCCGCTAAAACATCCATGACAGATGGCCATCCAACCTCTGATGAAAAACCTTCAAGGAAGGAGAGTCCACAACCTCCCGAGGGAGATGGTTTCGCTACTCAAAAGCTTTAAGTTCTTCCCGAAGTTTCATCAGAATCTTCTTTCTTGTAACTTGAAGCCATTGACTTGAGTCGTACTCTTCAGAGAGGGAGAAAATAAGCTTGCTCCATCGTCCTTGAGATGTTTGAAGATGGCTCTCATATCTCCTCTCAGTCTCCTCTTTTTCAGGCTAAACATACCCAGCTCCTTCAACCGTTCCTCATCAGGCTTAGTTTCCAGACCCTTGGCCATCTTGGTTGCCCTCCCCTGCACCCGTTCCAACTTGTCAACATCCTTCTTAAACTGTGGCATCCGCTGGAGTTTCTGAGTCAGCTTCAAGGGCAGCCAGGCATAGAGCGAGTTACAATAATCAAGCCTGGAAGTGACCGTCTCATGGATCACTGTGGCCAGATCAGGGCGAGAAAGGTAAGGGACCAACTGCTTAATACGGCAGAGATGGAAAAATGCCACCTTTGCTGTGGCTGCAACCTGCGCCTCCATGGAAAGGTTGAAGCTATTGGTTTGAGTCCTACCCTCCGGAGTAGGAGAAAACAAGCTTGTTCCATCCTTCATGTGACAGCCCTTCAGGTATTTGAAGATGGCCATCTCCTCTCAGTCTCCTCTTTTCCAGGCTAAACAGACCCAGCTCCTTCAACCATTCATCATAAGGCTTAGTTTCCAGACCCTTGATCATCTTGGGTCACCCTCCTCTGCACACATTCCAGCTTGTCAATATCCTTCTAAAATTGTGGCATCCAGAATTGGACACAGTATTCTAGGTGTGGTCTTAAAGGTAAAGGGACCCCTGACCATTAGGTCCAGTCGTGGCCGACTCTGGGGTTGCGGCGCTCTTCTCGCTTTATTGGCCGAGGGAGCCGGCATACAGCTTCCGGGTCATGTGGCCAGCATGACTAAGCCGCTTCTGGCAAACCAGAGCAGCGCACGGAAACGCCGTTTACCTTCCCGCCAGAGTGGTACCTATTTATCTACTTGCACTTTGGTGTGCTTTCAAACTGCTAGGTTGGCAGGAGCTGGGACCCAGCAACGGGAGCTCACCCCGTCGCGGGGATTCGAACCACCAACCTTCTGATCGGCAAGTCAAAGGCTCTGTGGTTTAACCCACAGCACCACCTGAGTCCCTTAGGTGTGGTCTTACCAAGGCACAATAGAGTGCTACTATGACTTCCCTTGATCTGGACTTCTGTTGATTCAGCCTAGAATAGCATTAGCTCTTTTTGCTGCTGCATCTCACTGTGGACTCGTGTTAAGTATTCAAAGGCCACTGTTGGCAGATGCAGAATCTAGCCATCATAGCAAGCAGGAGTGCAAGCTTGGCCCTGCAACTGTGGGTGCCCAGGGCCGTGGGTGCCATGCAACGAAATTTGTGGGTGACCAGCCCCTTCATGGAGAATTTTGTGGGTGCTCGGGCATCCAGGGCCCCAGTGATTTGGCCCCTATGGTGGCAAGCATGGATGAACCAATCCATCAATTTCAGTTCTCCACGGTTCTCAATTTTTCCTATTGCAAATTCATTTCTTTAAATTTCTGCAGCAATTTGTGGGTGTGGGTGTTGAATATCCTCATGAAAAATTACCGGCACATTTTTGCATGTGGGTTTGACAGACAGAGGAAGTGGCAATTTCTAAAAAAACATGGCCATCTGTGTTAAACCGCTTATGAACTGCCTGCTATAGAAATGTTGCGTTTCTCAGTTGCATTGGTGTGAATTTCATGGTTGTCGTTTTAAAATTGTTATAAAACATTTAAAAGGTCTGTTGACTGCAAGCTGAGAAATGAAGATGATAGCTTATATGAATATTCCCCTCCCTAGGAACCTTCTATCATATGGGGTGGACCTGTCCCAAGGTGAAAGACTTCTGGGAAAAGATTTATAATGAATTGGAAAAAAATGTTGAAATATACATTTATAAAGAAACCAGAGGCCTTTCTTCTTGGAATAACAGGTTTGGAATTGCCCAAGAAAGATGTTAAATTATTTTTGTATGACACAACTGCTGCTTGTATTTTGTTAGCTAAGAAGTGGAAAACCCAAGAATTACCAACAATAGAAGAATGGCAGATGAAGATGATGGATTTTTCGGAGCTAGCCGACCTAACCGGAAGAGTCCGCGACCAGAAGGAGGAGGAGTATCAGGAAGAATGGAAGAAATTTAATGGTTATTTAGTGAACTGGAAATAGCTTGCAGATACTTAATGGGCTTAGGATTTTATTTCTGTTAAGTGATGATGTAATATGTTTAATTCTATAAGGTGAAGATTTAAGGATGTTAATGTTTAAGTTAAATTTCATAAAAATTGGGTTTTGGAAAACCGTTAAAAGGACATGCAGTGAAATTCAACTAAGGGGAAGCAAGGAAGTCACTTAACAAAGTTAATAACTTTAATTTTCAATAAGGCTATGATCTATGTTTGTTTTGTTTGTTTGTTTGTCTTGTGTGTTTGTTTTTTTTTATAATATTGTGAAAACCAATAATTTTTTTGGAAAAATATATATATATGAATATTCCCCTCCCCATCCATTTCCCCTAATATGATGCATTTCTGTATGTTGCCATGACTAACGTATGTGCAGTTTTGCACGTGTGACTTGGTGGGAGAACTGCACTGCGAAATTCGGAGAAGCGTGAATTTTGAAGGATGGCTGTGCTTCAATTTCTGCATTTTGCCCAGAAAGTACAAAACAAAGAAGTTCACTTTTAAAGGTGAATGGAATCAGGTTTCTCTCCATCTCTAGTAGCCTTGTTTGTCCATCTAGGGTTGTATTGTCAACTCTGACTGGCAGTAGTGATCCAGGGCCTCAGGCAGAGAAAACCGCTTCCCACAACCTTTTCTTACTTGATCCTGGAAGACGCCACAAATTGAACCTGTGACTTTTTATACACAAAGCTCTGCCCCTGTGCTATTGATGCTCCCTGACTCTTGTCAAAGTCTCTTTCAGTCTCTATTTACTTGCATCCTTCTTGGCATCGATAGCCCAACTTTCCTTCAAGGTGGCCATTTCATCGTCACAACAACCTTGCGAGGCAGGATAGGGCTGAGAGAGAGAATGATTTGCCCCCAAGTCATCCAGTGGTAGGGACGCGGGTGGCGCTGTGGGTTAAACCACAGAGCCTAGGACTTGCCGATCAGAAGGTCGCCGGTTCGAATCCCCGCAATGGGGTGAGCTCCCGTCGCTCGGTCCCTGCTCCTGCCAACCTAGCAGTTCGAAAGCACGTCAAAGTGCAAGTAGATAAATAGGTACCGCTCTGGCGGGAAGGTAAACGGTGTTTCTGTGCGCTGCTCTGGTTCGCCAGAAGCGGCTTAGTCATGCTGGCCACATAACCCGGAAGCTGTACACCGGCTCCCTCGGCCAATAAAGCGAAATGAGCACCGCAACCCCAGAGTCGGCCACGACTGGACCTAATGGTCAGGGGTCCCTTTACATCCAGTGGTGCTTTGTTTTTGAGTGAGGATTTGAACCCTGCTCTCCCTGGCTGTAGTCTAACCCCTACACCAGTATGGAGCTGAATATGCAACATGCATTTAAACTTTTGAGGCACATTTAAAGCACACCCTGCCGCAAAGAATCCTGGGATCTGTCGTTTGCAAAGGGTGCTGGAAACTGTAGCAATGCATCAACTGGGCAAAGTTGCACGCGCAATTATATACGACAGGGAAAAATGTGCGCCTGGTGTGAGGAAATGAAACTGACAGATTGGTAAGCCACTCTGAGTAACCTGTGACTGGAAGAATGTGGTATAAATATACTCTTTAAAAAGAAGAAGACGAGTAGCACTAGGGAGATCTGAGTTCAAATCCTCTCACTCAGCCATTATGTTCAGAGTGTGGCCTTGGGTCTCTCTCTCTCTCTCTCTCTCTCTCTCTCTCTCTCTCTCTCTCTCTCTCATCTCAGCCTTTCCTGGGAACAATAGTTTGTTCAGGGTGCTGAGAGTCGTTAGGAGACCCTTGTTCCCTTCACAGAGCTACCATTCCCAGAGTTCCCTGGGAAAGAGGGACTGAGACTTGACCCAGCCTGGGAACTGTAGCACCATGAAGTTGCACTGGTGTGTTCAAGCCTGCGAGTTGCGTCAAGGTAAGCTCTACTCCGAGAAGGCCCACTGAAATTAATGGGCCATGGCTTGTTTAAGCCTGTGAATTTCAGTGGTTCAATGGAGCCCCACTGCCCTCCTCGTTAGACTGCTAAGACGAAGAACCCTCTGGGTAGCCAGAAATACCGTAGATGTTGGTGTGAAAGGATGGCGAGTTCAGTTAAACCTCAGCTGAACACCTAAAGCAAACCCCAGGCTGTGCAGCTCAGCGGTTGCTCAGAGACACCAGGTCATTTAGCTTTGCCAGTGCTAGATTTATGTATAAGCTAAACAAGCTGATAGCTTAGGGCCCCACTCTCTTGGGGCCCCCCAAAAAAAATTAAAGGGAAAAAACACACCTGGATGTACATTTCCAAAATATATGATTGAAAACAAATAAAATAAAACATACATACAGCAACCGTGTTTTGTGTTGTGTTGGCTCCTATGATGTAAGTAATGGGCCCTGCCTGCTAGCCTGCTCCCTAAAATATCACTGGTTTGCTCCTTTCTATATATAGGGTGCCTACATTCTGCATGGACTGGTTGCATGGCAACATGGGCAAATGGCTTTAGATACCTACAGTGGTACCTCAGGTTACATATGCTTCAGGTTACAGCCTCCGCTAACCCAGAAATAGTGCTTCAGGTTAAGAACTTTGCTTCAAGATAAGAACAGAAATTGTGCTCCGATGGCGCAGCGGCAGCAGGAGGCCCCATTAGCTAAAGTGGTGCTTCAGGTTAAGAACAGTTTCAGGTTAAGAACGGACCTCTGGAACGAATTAAGTACTTAACCCGAGGTACCACTGTATTAGGTCCATAAATTACCATATAGCATATATTCAACACAAAAAAACAGTGACAATTTGTTGTTGGCAAAGGACAGCTGGACACATAAAGGGCCCCATTACTTTCAGTAGCTTAGGGCCTCATCAAACCTAAATGTGCCTGACTCCAAGTGGTGGATCTCAGGATTATGGTAAAGCCCCTAGAAGATCCTGCAAGCCTGAAGTCTGCCTGTCCCTAGATGAACAAGTCGAACGGACTCCTGGAACAGATTATGTCCAAGAACAAAGGTACCACTGTATATACAACCTGAGCATAAGATGATCACAGCATTAACACTGCAACTGATCTTATTGGTGGGGCACCGGCACTAAGATATACCGGTAGCTCTTGCAACTCAACTCGTTCTTTTGAGATGCTGATGAGGACACTTGAGTGGCCAGTGAAAGTCATTGCCTTACAATGAAACTTGCCTGACCAGGATGGCAACCTCCTCTCTTAGACTGGGATGCAGGATCCCAACAATTGGAAGAGGCTCAGGGCATCATCCAGGCAGACACCCCCCACACAACAAAATTACCCCCCACACAACAATACTGTATGTAGATTTGCTCCAAGTGTGTAATTTGCCCAGGTGGTAAACTTGGCTGTCCAAAGATTTTCATTAAATTTTCCACAATACAATAAAATAGTATCTAAAACACATAGAATCAAAAAGACAAGAGAGAGAGGAGAGGAAAACAAGAAAAGAAAGGGGGAAAGAGAAGAAAAATGAAGAAGAAGAAGAAGAAGAAGAAAGGAATAGAGAGACAGGACATATTAAAAACACACACCAACAATAATATTAATACTAATAATCATAATAAAACATAAAATTATATGAATGTAGCTATCATTAATTACTGTATTTTCCCGTCTATAAGATGTCCCCATGTATAAGACGCCCGCTATTTTTGGGGACTCAGATTTAAGAAAATGGGGGGGATGTATCTGTGTATAAGATGCCCCCTAATTTTTGAGATTATTTTTTAGGGGGGGGACCTAGTCTTATACATGGAAAAATACGGTATATCTTAATTTTCAATACACACACAAAGAATCTAGATTCAGGTAGGTAGACGTGTTGGTCTGATGCAGTCGAAATAATTTTTGTAAAAATAGTCCAGTAGGACCTTAGAGACCAACTAAGTTTGTTCTAGGTATAAGCCTTCGTGTGCATGCAGACCTAGAACACTTGTTCTAGGTATATACCTAGAGCAAACTTAGTTGGTCTCTAAGGTGCTACTGGACAATTTTTTTAATTTTTTTATTTCGCCATACAAAGAAGTGAGTCTTCCCAGCTCTCACAGATCCCTCTCCAGATGGCAAACTTGGTCATCATCATCATCATCACTACAGTACAGCAACAATACCTTCAGGGTGTCGCCCTTCTTAAATGGCAATTCGTCCTTCTCATCAGCCTGGAAGTTGTACAAGGCCACGGCCTCCATCCTCGCTCTGGGTCCTCCTCCGAGCCGGGAGGGGCCTCGAAAAATAAAGCCCCCCCTGCTTGTTCAACCTTGTTGGCGTTCTGCAGCTGAAACCTCAAAGGCTATCTCGCTAATCCATCGACCGGTGGGAGGTGGCGGCAGATAGATGAATATATGTATTTTGAGAAGCTGCGGGTCCAGCTTTCTTCTGTCTCATCAGCTCACAAACACCCCAGAGTTTTGCTTTCTGTCTCTTAGGGCAGGCCCCGGAGTTGGTTAAGTGAAGTGAGAGAAGAAGATTAAAGGAAGGGGGGGGAACCATGTGTGAAATGAGACAGGAAATGTATTTGAATAAGGTTGCCTTTGAGGGTGTAGTTGTGGGACGGAGAGATGGGACCAGGAAATGACAGCTGCAAAGAGTGACCCCTTGCCTTGTGTCCCAAGGGGATTTCCTCCTCTTTACCCAGTGGGAGTAGGGCTGCCAACTTCTTTGTTGATCTCTGCTCTTGTGCTCTTAACAGTTGCTTGATCTCCAAGTACAGTATTTGATTAAGAAGATCTCTGCCCCCCCCTCTCATTTAAGTCTGGACTGCTGGTTTCTGCTGTAAATTGTGCTGCTATTAAAGGCATAGGAACAGGCCAGGCTTTTTTCCCCTGGTCAGTTGGCAACCAGAGGTGCAATTTCCTGTTTTTAAAGGCAAGGGATCTCTCCTGCTCATTCGAATTAAATAAAAAATCTGCCTCCTAGTGGAAGACGCCCCCCCCCCCAGTTCAAATCTCAACCCAGCAATGGACTCGCTGCCATATTGCAGCCTCGGTCTTTCCTCCCACATCTGTAGCATGGGGAGAATAACACCAGCCTGCCACCAGGGCTGGCGTCAAAGGTCTGACAAATTTTGAAAGGTGCCCGTGTGTCTGTTTGCATATCTTTCAGAAAGTTTTTGTTGTTCTGCCTTTAAATGCAAACTGGATCAAATCCACACACCCTGCCCTACATCCTTACCACACCTGCTGCATTTTGCCACCCGAGGCAGATGCCTCAATCTTTCTAATTCAAGGGCTGGCTATGAGCCTAACTGTCAAATGAATATACTGTACTGAAAAACCAGCATTATTTTGTACCTTTATAGCTGCAGGACTTAGCTTGGACACAAGGGGGCAGATGTCTCCCTGTGCTGCACACAGTGATGTTTGAGGCACAATGAGAACACTCACATAGAATCATCGAATTGTAGTGTTGGAAGGGACCCAAGGGTCATCTAGTCCAACCCCCTGGAATGCAGGAATCTCAGCCAAAGCATCCATGGCAGATGGCCATCCAACTTCTTCTTGAAAACCCCCAAGGAAGGGAGTCCACAACCTCCTGAGAGAGACCATTCCACTGTCAAACAGCTCTTACTGTCTAAAAGTTCTTCCTGCTGTTTCTTGTAATGTGACAGTCCTTGAGATGTTTGAAGATGGCTCTCATATCTCCTCTCTCTCTCCTCTTTTCCAGGCTAAACATACCCAGCTTCCTCCACCGTTCCTCCTAAGGCTTGGTTTCCAGACCCTTGGCTATCTTGGTCGCCCTCCTCTGCAAACAGTGCCCCAGGTGTGGTCTGACCAAGGCAGAATAGAGTGGTACTATGACTTCCCTTGATCTGGACATTAGACTTCTGTTGATGCAGCCTAGCAGAGCATTATCTCTTTTTGCTGCTGCATCACACTGTGGACAGTGGGACACGGGTGGCGCTGAGGGTTAAACCACAGAGCCTAGGACTTGCCGATCAGAAGGTTGGCAGTTCGAATCCCCGCAATGGGGTGAGCTCCCGTTGTTCAATCCCAGCTCTTGCCCACCTAGCAGTTCGAAAGCACCTCAAAGTGCAAGTAGATAAATAGGTGGGAAGGCAAGTGGCGTTTCCGTGCACTGCTCTGGTTTGCGAGAAGTGGCTTAGTCATGCTGACCACATGACCTGGAAGCTGTACGCCGGCTCCCTCGGCCAGTAAAGCGAGATGAGCGCCGCAACCCCAGAGTCAATCACGACTGGACCTAATGGTCAGGGGTCCCTTTACCTTTACCCTTACACACTGTGGACTCGTGTTCAGCTTGTGATCCACTAAGACCCCTAGATCCCTTTCACACGTGCTGCTAGTGAACCAGGTGTCCCCCATCTTATATTTGTGCATCTGGTTCTTTCTGCCTAAATGCAGAACCTTCCATTTGTCCCTATTGAAATTCATTTTGTTAGCTTGGACCCAGTTCTCCAATCTGTTAAGGTCATTTTGAATTCTGATTCTGTCTTCTACGGCATTAGCTACCCCTCCCAGTTTGGTGTCATCTGCAAATTGGATGAGTATCCCCTCCATTCCTTCATCCAAGTGGTTCATAAAGACATTAGATCCTTTCCACATGTACTACTAGTAAGCCAGGGGTTCCCCATCTTATATTTGCGCAGCTAGGATGTTTAAGATAAGCTCTATCCTGCCTCTAAATTCCTGCATTGCGGGGGTTGGACTAGATGACCCTGGGTCCCTTCCAATGCTACAATTCTATGATTGATTCGATTACCTAAGCTGGGGAGAAAACAGTAAAGATCTGATGAAGAGACCACAGCAGAGGTTATTTTTTTCTGAGAATTCTCCGGGGGGGGGGGGACTCTCAAAGGACATGTTGATGGCATTTTACCATTGTACTGTGGAGAGTGTATTAACTTATGGTCTCTGTGTGTGCTTTGGGAGCTGCACGGTCAGGGGAAAAACAATGCTGTCTAGGGTTGTAAAGACTGCGGAGAGAATAATTGGGTGCACTGTCCCTACCTTGGATCAAATCTCTGCTTCCAGGTGCCATAAGAAAGCTGCAGAGATAGCGCAGGATAGTGCGCACCCCAGAAATGATCTCTTTCAGCTTCTGGAAGAAGGTATAGGGTTATAAAGACTAGGACTAGCCACCTCAGAAACAGTTTTTGGTTTTAAATGCAGTGTAAGGTAGTCTCTGTGGTATATTTTATTTAATTATGGGGTATCAGAGTTTTTAGGGACGCGGGTGGCGCTGTGGGTTAAACCACAGAGCCTAGGACTTGCCGATCAGAAGGTCGGCGGTTTGAATCCCGGCGACAGGGTGAGCTCCTGTTGCTCAGCCCCTGCACCTGCCAACCTAGCAGTTCGAAAGCACGTCAAAGTGCAAGTAGATAAATAGGTACCGCTCCGGTGGGAAGGTAAATGGCATTTCCGTGCGCTGCTCTGGTTCACCAGAAGTGGCTTAGTCATGCTGGCCACATGACCCAGAAGCTGTACGCCGGCTCCTTCGGCCAATAAAGCGAGATGAGCGCTGCAACCCCAGAGTCGGCCACGACTGGACCTAATGGTCAGGGGTCCCTTTACCTTATCAGAGTTTTTAGGGGCTAACCAGACTGGGATAGTTGGGATAGCAGGCTTGTTGGTTTTTGAATTTCTGATGTAGATTTTTTCAATTTCTTTGTTCTGTATGGGACAATGGCAATAAAGATTATCATATTGTATTGTATTGTATTGTATTATCGTATTGTATCGTATCGTATCATATCATATTCTATGATAAATGTACCCAGCCAGGCAGGTCCCTCTTCCTTGCAGTATCTCCTCCCTGCCTGCCCCACTGGGCTGTGTGTGGAGGGAATTTTGCTTTCCTCACTCTCCAGTTTCCAGAACCATAGTTGAAACCCTAGAGAGCTGCTGCCAATCAGTGCAGACAATACAGTGGAGGCTCGGGTTGCGAATGTGATCCGTGCAGGAGGCACGTTCACAACCCGCAGCATCTGCAACCCGCAGCGCCGCATCCGCGCACACACAGCTTGTGACTCGGTGCTTCTGTACATGCGTGAGTACTGAAACTCAGAAGTAACCTGTTTCGGTGCTTCCGGGTTTCGGCGCGTTCATATCCCAAAAACGTGCAACCTGAAGCGTCTGTAACCCGAGGTATGACTGTACTGTGCTAGGTGGTCCATAAGGCAACATCCTTCCTTCCTTCCTAAGGTTCAAAGTTCAGTGGCAGAACATTTGTCTTGCATGCAGAAGGTCCATGGGTCAATCCAGAATGCCCCCCACCCAAAAATCTTGGGAAGTGTCTGCCAGGCAGTGCAGGCTATATGGAGCTTTCTCCCAAGCCATGTGTTATGTACTGAGTTGAATAGGATCCAAAATGCAGCAGTCTGATTGGTCCTAAAACAATAGGATTCAGAATGCAGCAGTCTGATTGGTCCGCAGGAGCCACCCAATCCAACTTGGGGTGGAAGTGAATCCGCAACCTGATTGGCCTACAGGAGAATCCCAGAATTAGCCAATCATGTGGGGCCCATTGTGTAAATAATGTATATAAAGCAGACATTTTGGGGGAACTTCCATTCCTCACTACTCTGAGCTTAATAAAGAACATGAAATCCACACTCGACTCCGAGTATATTTCACCATGCCATAGCCTTTTGATTGGTTGAATGCCAGCACCAACAACCCCTTGCGTGCCGTGTACAAGTGGGCTTCAGTTGGGCTGGCGTCTGTTTCTCAACAAGCTTGAACTGTGAAATCAAAGAGCTGAGCAGTCGAAAAACCTGGGCTGTTTAAGACTTTCTCAGAGCGGTGAAATCAACCTGCGCTCTTTATTGGCCTGGAGATAAACATTATCGCATCAAGCCCGGATTTTATTGTTTCAGCAAACAGCCCGCTGTGATAACCGTAAAAGAGATATGGAGCAAGTTCAAACACATTTACACTAAGAGGCAAAGAGTCTTGTGGCACCTTGAAGACTCCTCAGATTTATTCTGTGCCCTTTTAAAGCCAAGGTCTTGTGGGTCTTTCTAAGCCAACCCTCTGGGGCAGGGGTCAGCAAGGTTTATCTTGCCTGGGCTGGATCCGTCCTGCAGAGATCCCTCCGTGGGCTAGATCGCGCACGCGCCTGCGATTTTTGATGTCTGTGTGTACGAAGATGCAATTTCCGACATCTGCATCTGCACAGACGCGATTTTCAGTGCTGTGGAAGCGAGTCCCTGCGCCGCGCTGGGCTTGGTTTGGGGGCAGCTCGTGGGCCAGGTCAAACAACCTCTGCAGGCCGCTTCAGGCCCATAGGCCTTAGGTTGGTGACCCCTGCTCTGAGGTCTGCAGGCTGCCAGTGGCAAAGGCCCATGCCAGAGTG